GGTGGCGTGTGCCTGTGGTCCCAGCTTCTTGGGAGGCTGAGGTGGGAAGATTGCTTGAGCCCAGAAGGTCAAGGCTGCTTTGAGCTATGATCATGTCACTGCATTCCAACCTGAGTGACAGAGTGAGACCCTGTCTCAATAAATAAATAAAATACATTTTATCTAACCCAGCATATCCAAACTATTAGCATTTCAACAATTTACTAAAAAAAAAATTATTTTACATTCTTTTTTAAACTAAGTATTCAAACTTTGGTGTGTATTTTATACTTACAGCACATCTCAATTCGGACTAGCCACCTTTCAAGTGTTCAGTAGCCACTTGTGGCTGCTGGCTACCGTATTAGCACAAGTGTAAGTAGCATAACTTACTGTTCCTGTTCTGTACTTCCTGTGAGATCCAGAATGAGGAAAGCTAGAAACTTCTGGTAGGGGGTATCTTTCTCAGCTACCCTGCTTCCTTCCCCTCTCCTGAAGGAAACTTTGGGGATGTCCAGGCTAATAGATACATGATCATATCCTTAGATTAATAATGCTAATAATTGAGCTTCTACTCTGTGCCAAGCATATAATCTCATTTAATTCTGACAACAATCCCATTTTACAGATTAGGAAACAGGTTCAGAAAAAGTAACTTGTTCACATTTATACATCTGGTAAGTGTTAGCGCTGGAATGTAAACTTGGTTTAAAGGTAAGCTGGTATAATCATTATGCTACAATTTTTAATTTGCCACTCTTTTTTTTTTTTCCGAGATGGAATCTCGCTTTGTCGCCCAGGCTAGAGTGCAGTGATGCAATCTCGGCTCACTGCAGCCTCCGCCTCCTGGGTTCAAGCAATTCTCCTGCCTCAGCCTCCCAAGTAGCTGGGACTATAGGCATGCACCACCAGGCCTGGCTAATTTTTTTTTTTTTTAATTTCTAGTAGAGGAGGGGTTTCACCACGTTGGCTAGGATGGTCTTGATCTGATCTCGTGATCTGCCCGCCTCAGCCTCCCAAAGTGCTGGGATTATAGGCGTGAGCCACTGCGCCAGGCTAATTTGCCACTTTAATGGGCCACATGGCAGGGAGCAATGAAGAGAAACACATAGATGATCAAAGGAAGCTGGCCTGACTCAGGCTGGGGTGTGTAGCACACCTTTTGTCGCCTCCGCCCGGTTTCTCACACACCCTAGGTCTGACTTCGGTATCGCTGTTTTCAGGTCTCGGCTCCACTAATTATTAATGGTGTATTCTCCAGTAGAATCAGCTGTCTGATCCCCTATTTCCTCTTCTGTAGGATGGGAATGCTAACACTAACCTCAGGGTAGCGGACAAGTTCCAGTGAGATGATGAGAATGTCTGTACAACATGTAGCCCAGTACTTGCTGCCTGGTGTTCCCCTCAGAACATGCTCGGTCTTACACTCCTCTTTCCCGGGCTGGCTGCCAGGAGAGGCAAAGTGTCACTTGACCTCCTAGCTCCCTTGCCCTTTTATATTCTCCTGTGGGGTCCTCACAGTGATCCCTGCTCTAGTGTTGCTTCCGGTGGGCTGGTGAGGATGGGGCCGTACCTGAGAACCGGTGCCTGAAATCCTTACCCAATACCAAAAAGTTTCTTTGTGTAACACTCTGTCAGCCTAACTGCCAAAGATAGTCACCTCTGAGAAGCTCTTATCCCCTCCCTCTCGCCGCTCTCACCCCTGGGAGTCCATCTCACATGGGCTCCTGAGGGGGCTCCTTCTTCCCATCCCGTCTGTTGCTCATCTACCTCCTGGCCTGCAGGATTGCAGATCCTTCCTCCGCAATGGCTGCCAGGTTAGTCTTCCTGAAACAACCTGACCATGTCACCTTCCTACTTAAAAACTTTTCTTCAGGAATTGAGTGCAAATTCCTTAGCTTGTCATTCATCCAAATAGTATTCCTATGTACCTATGCCCTTGTTATAGGCACAGCGAACAGCAGCGAAGCAAACGTACAAGCAGCCCTGCCCGCGTGGAGCTTACCCTCTAGGGGCCCCGCAGAGGCTGGGCCCAGCGTCCCGGCACAGCCTCGCCTCCCCAGTGCATTTCCCGCCCCACTCCAGGCCCACGCGCCGGGGCTGCTGTCTCCACCATGAAGCCTTCCCAGCCTCACTCAGGTAGAGAAGACGTCCCCTCCCCCGGGACGACTCCATTCCCCGCCGCCCCTACTACAAGACATGGGCTCCCCTGGAAACTGAGGCCCTTCTCCCTGACTACAGACCCGCAACCCCTCCCCTGCTCTGGGGATTGTGAGCTAAGAGCCAGGGTGGGAGCAAGAGGCTCTCCTCTTCAGGGCTGGCCCCCTCCACCGCACAGGAAACGGGGCAGAAGGGCGGACCCCCATCTCATGTAGGAATGCCTTGTCCCCAGGGTGAGCCCCCAGGTGAGCCTCCGCGGCCGCGTGGAAGGGACAAGAAGCGCCGCTGCCCGGGTGCTGTTGGCGAGCAGCCCAGCTCCATCTTCCCGGTGTGGTAGCGGCTGGAGCCTGGCCTGGGCAGCCTTGGGACAGCCAGAGTGGGCCAGGGGACCACGTCCCGTCCCCGGCTCTGGGGACGGTTTCCAGCCTCCAGGAAAGGAGCGGGGGCTGGGAGGGGAGAGGGTCTGGAACTGGCATGAGCGGCGTTGCCGTGTCTGCCACGCGTGTCACCTGCTGGAGAGTCCGCCTGGATGATTTCACTCCGCGGAGGCGCCGCCCCACCACTCAGTTAGAAACCTCAGAGCCATACTCAACTCTCCCCTCCTCTCCAGCCCCACTGTCACAGCTCTGCTTTTCTCCTCCTCACGTCCACGCTCCCCCCGCCCCGCCCCTCTCCCCCCTTCACCCCCTCCCGTCTCCTGGCCGGTTTCCTTTTCTATAGTTTGTCCCCTCAAAGCCGCCCTGCGCTCCCTGCCCGTGTCTGACCAAGACTCTGCTCCCTTACTGAACAGCACAGTGCCCGCCACGGGCTGCCACTCAAGGTCACGTCTGCATGACCACCCCCTGCAGCCTACCTGCCAGTGTCACCTCTGGTCACCCCTCTCTTCCAGGATCCAGGGATCCAGGCTCCTCATCGTGCTTCCGCACCTGCGGCTCATTCCCTGGGCCAAGAATGCCCCTCCTAATTCTTTGTTCATCCTTAGAGACCCTGAAAAATGTCACCACAGGAGTGGAACCTTCCTCTGCCCCACCCCAGACTTAGTCTCTCCACAACAGCTGGCACATCCCCTTGTCCAACATTACACTTGTCCCTACACACAGCTGCCTCCTCTACCAGACTCTGAGTTGCTGGAGGGTGCAGCCTGGCTCTTGTTCTTCTCCCCATCCCCCCCTACACAAGGCCTGACACAGAGCAGCCATCAGCAATGAATAAACAGCATTTTAAAAAATGAGTAAGTAGAAGATCATAAGAACTGGGTAGTTGCTGGGTATGTGGAAGAGGCTGGACTGTTGGGCGTTCATCTGAGAAGGCTTCTTGGAGGCCACATTGGGCAGGGTTAGATGGGGGGTCAATAAATTTGGTGCAACCAGAGGGCCTCAGGGAAGCACCAGAGTGACCTGTGATGTTAATTTAACAAACACAGAACAACTTCTATTGTCAGGTCTCATACTGGGCACAGGGACCTCGGCCAGCACTCAAATTGCATCCCCTATAGGAACCCCAGGGTAGGCGGTGCCAAAACTCTGCCAAAACAGAGTGCCAAGTATCACATGGTAAGCACAAGAAGATGAAACCATACAGATGAGGGACACCTAACATGCTCGGGGCGGGGTGGGGGATGTCAGAGGGGCTTCCCAAAGAGGAGCACTACCCAACCCAAGACCAAAGAGAGGGTCTGAGAAGGGTGGGGAGGACTGAGAGGAAGCTGGGAGAGCTGAGCAGAGCTGGCATACCAAACACAGGAGTTGGACTCCATCCTGAGGGCATTCAAAAAGCTGGGGAGTGACCAGATCACCTGCAGTCTGGTGCTATGCCAAGCCTCAGCCCTCACCCCTCCTGGGAGCCTTCTCACCTCCTGGCAGGCTGAGCCCCTTTTCGGTGCTCCCTTAGTAGCCTGGTCGCCTCTTTTCTGTGCAGGGTTAGGTACTGTGGCTAAACTGTGTCCCTTGGTCTTAATCTTCTCTGTGTCCCAAGCACCAGGCACCACATCTTGCCCCTGGCCAAACATTTGCTGAATGAATGGCGGGTGGTTCCTTATTTCTGTTGTCTTCTATAGCCCTTATTCTCAGTTCCACATCCTTTCACGCCTGGGACTTGTGCATTCTGCTGCAAACAGCATTTAATTGGGAAAGAGGAGACCCAAATCAAATCCTGGCTCCACCATTTACTGGACAAGTCACTTAACTCTCCTGAAACCTCAGTTTCCCCATCTGTAAGATAAGGTACCACTATGAATAGAGTCTAAGTCTCCACATGTACGCAAAAGACTCGTTTCCTTGGATAGGTTGTAAACTCTGTGATGGCTGGGACCAAGGTTTCTACCAGCACCCAACTCAGGCACAGCATATAACCAATACAATGCTCAGTCCTATTGGTTGGTAGACAGCAGAGCACAGGGGAAAGAACACTTAAGGCAAAATTGTAAGTTTTGTTCTGCCACTTCTGGTGTGACCCTGAGCTAGGTTGTTCCCATCTGAGTCTTCCTTGCTTTACCTGGGAAGTAGGGATTAGAACCCTTGCCTGACAGTGCTCACAGGGCCAGTGGAAATCCTAAATGTGAAAGTGGTTTGTGAATGGAGGAGATAACGAACGAGATAATATACTAGACAATTGACCATTAATTAAAAATTAACCAGCTGTGAAGTAGCACAGAGGCAGCAGCAATGCTTGACAGCTGGTAGACAGACCCTGGGCACCTGCTGACTCTGAGCAGCAGACACTGGGATGTTTGATCTTGCTGGGGTCATCCCAGAGACCCAGGAGAGACCACTACAGCAGGTTCACGGGGAGGGAGTATGCAGCAAGTCCTTTGTCCCCTTCCCCTCCCAGATTTCCCTGGCTTGCATTGCTTCCTGTCGTAGGTTTGGAGGGACTCTGGCGTAAGAAGGTCTTAGGAATCCCAATGGCTCTGGCCATGTAGCTACTGATCCCCTTTGGTGAGTGAGGCTGGCCCACTGAGGCAGCGAGCCCAGCAGTGCTGTCCTGATAAACTCTAGTCCCAAACTCCAAGTCAGCCCTCCCAGCTGCTGGCATCTTTGTGGCGGGTTAATGAGAAAGGACCATGGTTTGTCTCAGCTCTTGTCCAGACCAGATGGGCCTGGGGCTGAACAGAGGGGCTGGATGGAGGCAGAGCTGGAGGTGAGATTAATCCTCACCTCTGAAATGGGTGAGGATTAAATGAGAAGACAGATCTGGGAACACCTTGAAGCTTGTTTATTTTACTCAAGTGCAGGATCTATTTGTGGCTGATACATTTGCCCCAACCAGTAGGGCTTCTCAGTTTTGAGGAGGAATGGGGCTCTTTCTCCAAGAGACTCAGTTGCACAAGCAGATTATGTGTAAGGTGTACAAATGTGGTCTTAGAGTAAAAGCAGAGATAAGACAGGCTGTGAAGATGGGCAGGGCCAGCCAATTCCCTGTTGTGGGAGAGACTGGGAGAGACTGGGAGCGCTGTGGGACCTAGGCTGGACGGTGCCGCACACACAGGGAGGCTGCTGCTGTCTCGCAGACCTGGCCATCGAGCTCCCTCCCTGCCACATCCCATATACCTCCTCCTGCTAAAATCTATGCCTCCAGCAGAAGAAACACCAGATTTAGAATCAGATGGGATTTGGTTCTACTTACTGTGTGACTTTGAGCAAATACCTTCCTTTCTTTTAACCGTAGTTTCCTCATTCATAAAATAGGGGAGAATTCTAGCACCATCTCCTGAGGTTGTCAGGCTCTGAGAAGCAGACACGGGAATGAGAACATGGTGAAACGATCTTTGTGAACTATTCAGTGTTGTACACATTCTTTTTTTTTTTTTTTTTTTTGAGACAGAGTCTTGCTCGGTCACCCAGGCTGGAGTGCAGTGGTGTGATCTCGGCTCACTGCAATCTCTGCCTCCCAGGTTCAAGCTGAGTAGCTGGGATTACAGGCATGCACCACCATACTCAGCTAATTTTTGTATTTTTAGTAGAGACGGGGTTTCAACATGTTGGCCAGGCTGGTCTCGAATTTCTGGCCTCAGGTGATCCACCTGCCTTGGCCTCCCAAAGTGTTGGGATTACAGGCATGAGCCACCGTGTCCAGCAACACATTCATTTTTAATCTGTCATCTCTTCCCTTGTGGGAAGTAGGCCTGCTGTTCTGATTGGGGCCTGTCAGAACCAGGACCTTAAGGCACCTCGGCTACAGCCCTGTGCTTCAGGAGGAGTGAGCTTGGACTGTGGGACAACAGGACTTCCTGGCACTACTTCTCTCTCAGGCCAACCCTTGGTCAGTGACAAGGGCCCACCTCTCAGATGGGAGAAGGGCCCATATCCCCTGCATTCTGGGCCATAGGGCTCCAGGATGGTCGGCATATGGACTGGAGGGATGTCTGCGCTGCAGGGCAAAGGTGCAGCCAGAGAGGGAGTGGAAACTATGCTTGTGTTGGTTTACCTACTCTGCTATTGAGCTTTTCCAAGACGCTGGATCCTCAGCACCTTTGTCTTCATCTCCTGAGTCTCCTTTATCTACCTCCTGTCTCCCTTAGTCTAGTCCAGCCAGTGAAACCGAATGTAGGGAGGGTGCCATTTTGGGATGAGGTCTAGTGGAACAAGTCCCTGGGAGCCTCTTCTGGGACTCCTTGACCTTGGGAACCCTTTGCCCCTCTCTCTTGGGCCCCAGGTAAGGGTACCAGTTTCTTCCTGAGCCATGACCAGAGCCATTCCCAGATAAATGAGGTTTCCTGGAAGGATGTTACCAATGCCTTATCTCTGGCCAACATGGTCCTGGGGCTCTTCTCCATCATCTTCAGCTTCAGCAGGTAGGTCTGGGGCCCAGCGAGCTCTTAGCCAAGAGCTGGAGCCAATGGCATGAGGGAAGGAGAGGGAGAGTCTAGAGAGCAGGCACTGAGGCACAGGAATCCACAGTGTACCCGGGGAAAGTGCAGTAGCTTAGAGTCAAAGAGCCAAGATCCCAGACTCAACTGTACCAGTTCATTCCAGCTGTGGCAGTCTAGAATGGTTTTTATGAGAAAGTCAAGAGATTCTGTTCTGGTGGCCTTTATACAATCTTTGGGTAGGCCACAGTTCATATTTTCTAATTCTTAGATCATACGACCTGGCAGAATATTTGAAATTAGCACTGTTCTGGAAGGTCTGAGACATGCATATGTTCCCCCAAAATGTTGTAAGCAAATTCTATTTCTGTAAGTTGAATCCCATTTCAATGTTTTTGGGATATCAGTCCTTTAAAGATAAATCCTTTATGATGCAGGTAACATCCTCCTAATCTACTCGATTGTCTATAACCATCAGCAAGTGACTTCTCTTTGGATTTGTTTCTCATCCATAAAATAAGATGACTTTACCTGATGATGTTTAAGCTCCCTTGCAGCTGGAAATTTTTGTGATTCTCTAAAGTCTTGGTTTTTCGACTATAATAAAGTAGGGCACACCTACAGCAGAAAATCTCTTTTTTAAAGAAACTTTTTTTGTTTTTTGTTTTTTTTAGAGATGAGGTCTCACTATATTGCCCAGGCTGGTCTCAAACACCTGGGCTCAAGTGATCCACCTGCCTAGGCCTCCCAAAGTGCTGGGATTACAAACGTGAGCCACTGTGCCCAGCCCAGAAAACTTCTATCTTCTTAGTTCAGCCTAATTATCTGGGAGTGTTATTTTTTTGCCATAATGGTGCCCTGAGTCTTTTTATTTAGCTTCAGTCCCCTTTAGATACATAGGACTGGGTCTAAACAAAGGAAATGCTGTGGTTGTTTGGAGACAGCTGAGGTCTAGGTCAGGCCCTTTGCTTCTTCTGGGCTGCCTAAGCATTGCAATCCGGGTGCAGACTTGAGAATGGGCCTCTCAGGGCAGGTTTGCTTGGAGCTGTGGTGGCAGCTTTTAGAGGGACCTGGGGACAGGTGCTGGATGGAGGCACAGAATCAAGAATGTGGGATCTGAAAGAGCTCATGGAAATAATTTAAGGCATCAAAATACATGAGACAAAAACTAATAGAACTGCAAGGACAGTTGATGAGTCCACTATCAAGGTTGGAGATTTCCACACCCCTCTATCAGAAACTGACAGATCCAGCAGGCAGAAAATCAGCAAAGACATAGTTGAAGTCAGCAACACCATTGGTCACCTGGATAAAATGGACATCTATAGAGTACTTCATCCAACCATGCAGAGTACACATTCTTCTCCAGCTCACTTGGACAGATCACATTCTGGGCCATAAAACATACCTTAACAAATTTAAAAGAAGCATACTCTCAGCCCACATGGAAATGAACTAGAAGTCAATAACAGAAAGACAGCTGAAAAATCCTGAAATATATGAAGATTAAACAACACACTTCTAAATGACACATGGATAAAAGAAGAAGTCTCAGGAAACATTAAAAATGTTTTGAACTAAAAAAATGAAAACACGATTTATCAAAACTTATAAGATGCAGGGAAAGCAGTGCTTTGCTTTGAGGGAAATTTATTTCATTGAATGCATACATTCAAAAAAGAAAGATTTAAAATCCATAATCTAAGCTTTAACCTTAGGAAACTAGAAAAAGAAAAGCAAACTAAATCCAAAGTAAGCATAAAAAGTAAAAAGTAAAAATTAGGCCGGGTGCAGTGGCTCATGCCTGTAGTTCCAGCACTTTGGGAAGCTGAAGCAGGTAGATCACTTGAGGTCAGGAGTTCAAGACCAGCCTGGCCAACATGGTGAAACACCATCTCTACTAAAAATACAAAAATTAGCCGGGTGTGGTGGCACATACCTGTAATCCCAGCTACTTGGGAGGCTGAGGCAGGAGAATCGCTCGAACCTCAGAGGCAGAGGTTGCAGTGAGCGGAGATCGCACCACTGCATTCCAGCCTGGGCAGCAGAGGGACTCCATCTCAAAAAATAAAATAAAAATTAGAGTGGCAATCAAAGAAATTGAAAACAAGAAATTAATAGAGAAAAATCAATGAAACCAAAAGCTGGTGCTTTGAGATCAATAAAATCGATAAACCTCTAGTCAAGCTAACCAAGTTAAAAAAATGAAAAGACAGAAATTACCAATATCAGAAATAAAACAAGGGTCATTACTACTGATTCCACAGACATTAAAAGTATAATAAAGGAATGCTATGAACAAGCCTCTGCCCACAAATTTGATATCGTAGCTGAAAATAATCAATCCCTTAAAAGACATAAGTTGCCAGGCGCAGTGGCTCACGCCTGTAATCGCAGCACTTTAGGAGACCGAGGCGGGTGGATCACGAGGTCAGGAGATCGAGGCCATCCTGGCTAACATGGTGAAACCCTGTCTCTACTAAAAATACAAAAAAATTAGCCAGGCGTGGTGGCGGGCACCTGTAGTCCCAGCTATTTGGGAGGCTGAGGCAAGAGAATGGCGTGAACCCTGGATGCAGAGCTTGCAGTAAGCCGAGATCACACCACTGCACTCCAGCCTGGGCAACAGAGCTAGACTCTGTCTCAAAAAAAAAAAAAAAAAAAAAAAGACATAAGTTACCAAAACTCACACAAGGAGAAACAGGTCATCTGAATAGGTTTGTATCTATTAAACAAATCATTTAGCACACACTCCTCATTTTACAGATGGGGGAACAAGCCTAGAGATGGGGTAGTGATTTAGCTAATAATTCATAGAGCAATGGTGGCAGAGGCTGGGCTAGAACCTAGGTCCCCTGTGCCATCAAAAATGCCTGGAAGTTAGAGTTGGAAGGGATCTCAGTGATGTTCTAGGGGATTTGGGGCACCCCTTTAAGACTGTAGATTGAGTCTGTGAGGGATGTAGGCGTGTGTGTGTGCATGTGTGGTGTGAAAAGCAGCATATATCAGAAAGGATGTGAGTGTGGGGGCATGAAGGGATGTGTGTGTGTGTGCAAGTGTGGGAGGTATGTAGGAAGTATATTAGTGTATACTAATATACTAATGGGGGGTGGGGGAGAGTCTCCAGTGGAGACTGCGAAAGTGCTTCCCCATTCGGGCTTGCTGGCCTGCACTTTAGGAAACGCCACTATGCCTCCTGGATGCTCCTGGTCAGCTTCCTGTTGGACATGGCAGTCAGGGCAATGACCAGCCACATCAACATCTGCTCCAAATGGGGTGAGTTCAGGCCCCAGGCCCCTAATCCTTGTCCCCAGTAGCATCCATCTGGGGTCACCCCTTCGTCCATCCTCTAACATCCCGCAGGCCTTCATCAGGCATCCACCCCTGTTCACACCCCCCCGAGAGCAGCAGCAGCAGCCCTGGAGCAGGAGTTCGAGAGCCCCGCAGTCCAGCTCCAGCTCCTCTGCTGGCTCACTTATTGACCTTTGGGCAGTCCTTGTCCTGGCTTTCAGTTTTCTCATCTGCCCTGCTTCCCTGTTCTGGACCCATCCAGGTATTGGAGTGGAAGTGGGTAGGGGTGGGGTGAGAGGAGGTTGGCAGAGAGGAGATGAAAATTAAACCAGCAGAGCAGCTGGTTTAAAATACAGTAAAATGCTTCCATGTAAGATTTAGCTTGAAAAAAGTCCCATAGCTTATCAGTTTGTATCTGATTGTAGCCCAACCCTTGCATGTTAAGGGATAGGAAAACTAAGATCTGAGAGGGAAATACTTGCCCAGGGCCACTGGCCAGCACAAAGCAGAGCCAGGAGGAAATCCTGGTCTTTGATCTACAGACTGCCCCCCAGGGGAGCAGCTGTTGCTTTCTGGGACCTCAGGACCCCTCTTGTCACTACCCCAGCTCCCCTACTAGAGGGGGACTAAGGTGCAAGACATGGGAGTATAAGTTCTTCTAACTTTGGGCCCTCTGGGGCAGGAGCTGAGCTGAATGACTTTGCCGTCTTCACCACCTTCGGCCTGGCCTCTGCTCTGCTCCTAGGCGTGGATGGACTTCTGAGTGGGATCCTGGCCATCATCTATGTGTCAGCTGCTTCTTTCCATTTGTGCTTTTATTCACCTGGTGAGTGGAACCAAGGTTGCCTTAGAACAGAGGGCAGAGGAGCACAGAACGGGGAGCTGTCGGATGCCAGAAGCCTGGGGTGCAGTTACTGACTCCTTTTTTGGAGGTCCTCTTCCTTCCTCCTTGCATGCCCCATGCCTCATGCTCATTGAAGGCTGCAGGCTGCATTGGCAGAGCCCTGGGCTGGGAGGCAAGGGCTTTTGTTTCTTGGAGCAGCTGTACCTCTTTCTCAATGCATGACCTGTGACATTTGGATGGAGCACACTGATTCTTGGACTAGCACTGGAGGTATATTCTAGTTCCTGAAAACAGATGGAGAAACCATGCTCCAGTGAGAGAAATTGTCTTGCCTAAGGTCACAAAGTGAGGGAGAGCAGATACAGCACAGGACTTAGACTAGCAGGTCTCAAAGCAGAGACTTCCTAGGAGCCAGGGCACACCCTGGTCCTAGCTGGCTGTCTGCTTTCCCTTGGAAACCCAATGTAAAACCCATGCATCATCTTTGTGAATAAATGATTTTCAGCCTGCCACTGCCTTTGGGTTTAAGGGAATATTGTATCCTGGGTAGGGGAATACCCAAAGAGAGAGGGGCCTGCTTCATTTTGGTATCTTTAGAGCAGAGGGAAGCAGCTAATCTCCAGTGTTCTTCCCGGCAGGAGTCCCCTCCACATACAAGGGTCTACCCTGCCCCTATGCTTCCTGCATCTTGGCTTCCACCTCTCTTCTGACCAAAGGCAACAGGTTCATCCTCTGCTGCATGGCCTCACTCATGATTCTCTTCATGATGGACCAGAGCTACTATCCATATGACAAAATCCTGGAGTCTGAGAACTGGAAAAAATTGGTTTATATAGGAGGTGAGTGAAAATGTCACTATGGCCCGTTTGTTATCACTGTTGCTTATTGCCACTGTACCTTACCCCAGCATTTTTCTATCTCCCTTGTTCTGCTTTATTTTTCCCCATAGAACTGATGATCATCTAACATACTTACTAGTTTTCTTATTGTCTATAAACACTAAACCAACCCCCCAATAGAGGACTCTCTTTTATTCATGCTATTAATATAATCCCCAGTGCCTAGAAGTGTGTCAATCACATGGTAGGTGCTCAGTATCTATTTACTAAATGTTAATAAGTTCAAAAGAGATTTAGGAAGCACCCCCCATGTGCCAGGTACTGGAAATCAAATTGGTAAACTAGGCAAACAGTCCCTGCCTCTGAATCTAGAGCCTGATCACAGGGGAGACAGATACCAAACAAATGATGGCAGAAATAACTAGAAACATAGTTTTACTGTATGTATTATGCAAGTGCATGGTGCTCTGAGAGAGTGTCAGAGGGTGACCTACTTCAGGCTGGGATGATCTGAAGGGAAGGAAAGGATCCTTAAGCAGGTGTCATTTAAGTGAGACCTACAAGAGGAGTGGCCAGGTGGGGATGGAGAGGTTCAGGAGGTTCAGGAAGAGGAACAGTTGTGATGGCTTTGAGGCCACAGGGGCTGGACACATTAGTGGAGCAATGTGGCTGAAACTTGCTGAGACAGCCAGTGACAAAGACTGAGGCCGGTGAGCAGACCTGGCAGGATTTGGGATTTGAGACCAAAGGCAAATGAGGAGCTTCTAAAGGGATTTATGCAGGGAACTGGCATGGCTGGAGCAGCAGTTTTCAATGATCACTTTGACTGCAATGTGGAGAATAGATTGTAGGCCTGAGAATGTAAGGAGGAAAACAAACTTTTTGTTCAGATGAGAAGTGATGGTGGCAGTGGAGATAAAGAGAAGTGAATGGATTTGAGATAAATGTTGGAAATAGAATTGACATTGAGGAAGGAGGAGGAGACATGGATGACTCTTAGGGTTGGGGTTGAAGTAACTGAGCACTGGGTTCCAGGCCCTGAGTTCCTGGTCACACTGGCACCTTGCAGAAGTCTCCCTAGAGCTTCCCCTGATTTAGGGCTTCCTTCAAGGAATATCAGCTTTTCTTCTCTTAAAATGTGCTCCTGTAAACAAGACAAACATCTATGGGGATACAGAGTTCCTTCCTTTATTCCCGTGTGAGTCCACTCTAGTTTATAGGGTCTTCGGTTTCATCCTGACCTTTCTCTTAAGGTTTATACCTTTTGTAACATTAGCACCAACAGCCCTATCCAAGTTCCAGGAGCTGGCTCCTCCTACACCTTAGGTGGCAGAGGCAGAACGGTGGTGAGAAGCTTCTGGGTTTGGAAGCTTCTCAGGAAGACCTGAGCCCAAGCTCTAACTCTAGCACATATTAGTTGTATGAACTTGGGCTAATACCTCACTGTTTTGAGCTCAATTTTCTTCATCTGTAAAACGAAGCCACTAATCCCTACTTTGCAGGATTACTGAGATTAAATGAGATAATAAATATAAATCCTTTGGTACAGATGTGTCCATTTCTAGCCTCGTTCTTCTCCTCCACCTCCCCTTCTCCTATCTCATAACAGTAGTATTTCTTAGTGTTCTTCACTCCTATGGATACTACTGATCCCCCTTGTCTCAAAGTAAACCACATACTTGGCCTCAGCCTTCCTCAGATTGTCCTGCTGTGTGAGTAAAGGAGGAAACTGCACCTTACAGATTTTGACAACAGTTAATACCAGAGCCCTACTGGGTAGATTTCAAAATGGCTGCTGTGGACATTCCTTTTATTTGGAGTGCAGCCAGTCGCCTTCTTAGACTGAGGTCCCTTCTACCCCACAGAGCTTCGTACGTCTGAGAACTGGCCTGTGACCAGCACTCTGAGACCTTAGGATATACTTTTTTTTTTTTTTTTTTTTTACAGAGAGTACCCCAGTATCTCATATATATGGTAGAGACGGGGTCTCACTCTTTTGTCCAGGCTGATCTCAAATTCCTGGACTCAAGCAATCCTCCTGCCTTGGCCGCCCAAGGTGCTGAGATTACAGGCATGAGCTAACGCACTGGGCAGGTACTTTCCAAGACAACTCTGGTTTTCACGATTGTCTTTTTGCCTCAACAGATCAATGACTATTCTTGAAATGCAGTGTTCCAAAATGCCCATGCGTATCGTTAACTGCTTCTTACTCCTAGAAGCGGTCTTCTATCAGATCATATGTTCTGATTTCTCTTACAGGATACATGGTGATCATTCCCATGGAAATACCATTGGCTCATACTCTCTTTGTCCTCTTTTTGAGCTCCCTGAGGCAGTGTGTCTAGTTTTTAAGAGTCAAACAGAAGTGGGTTTGAATCAGGACCTTGCATGGGTTACTTCTGTTTCTTCTTATGAAAAACAGACTTAGTTCTAAACCACGGGATTATTGTGAAGTGTAAATGAAAAAAATATACATATCTAGCAGAATGTCTAGTGCAAAATAGATATTCCACAAACGTGAGTGCTCTTTTGTCTTTTGGTGGCGAATCTGAGAGGCAAATTGTGTTGGGAGTCCCCAAGACCACCTCTGAGAAGACTCACAGGACTCAGCTTCTTGTTGTACTCGTGGCTAAGATTGATTTCCGCAAAAGGATACAAAGCAAACTCAGCAAAGGGAAAAGGTGCATGGGACAAAGTTCAGGGGAAACCAGGTGCAAGCTTCAGAGAGTCCGCTCCCAGTAGAGTCACACGAGATGCACTTAATTCCTCAGCACTGAATTGTGATAATACAATAAAGTGTTGTCTACCAGGGAAACTGATCAGAGACTCAGTGCCCAAGATTTTACTGGGGGATGGTCACGTCAGCACCCTGTGCCTACCACATACGAAAATTCCAGACTCCCAGAAGGAAAGCAGGTGTTACCACTGTGCTTATATGGACAGTCCAGGAACAGTGAGACACTCTTATCAGTTGGGGAAAGTTTTATGTTGGTCTGGGGAACTGTTTACTATTCAAGTTTCCAGCCATCAGCCAAGGGCCAGCCTTGCAAGAAGGCCTTTCTGAGGATAGCAGTCTCGGGCCTTTTCTGCATACATACCATATTGCATTGGTCATTATCACATGTTAAATTTAAAACAATGAGGAATTTTTTTTTTTCCTGACAAGAGTTTTTCGGTTTTTGTCTTGTTTTGTTTTGTTTTCCCTAACAAAGGCAATTCAGATTTATTCTTGGCTGGAACTTCTGATGTGAATTTGACACAATGGAACCTGAGACTGCATTGGGCTATACTTCTCTAGTTACTTACCTATCTCTATTAAACTGAACTTGAAGACAGGGCTCCTGTCTCTTTTTGTTTCTTAGGCACTGTGGGTGAAAAATAAAGAATGGGAGGGTGGGGACGGGAGAGCAGAGGGTAGAAAGCATAGAAGACAGCTTTCTAGAAATTGAGTGTCTGCACTTTTTCTTCTTCCAGGTGTCATCATGCTGTTTTTCTCCCCACTGTCTCTGTCTGCTTTTTACTGCCTGATGTGGTCGCTCTCATACATCTTCTTTCCAGATGCTCTGTGGGGCAAGGCAGCCTGTGTTTCGCCACAGCGCTGAGGAAGCTAAGCAGCTCTACCAGCTCCTGCCAGCCTCTGTGGGGTTTGTGTCAGCATATCGGGTCAAGCCTTGTGTAGCTGCACTAAAGCTTTGCGTGTACCTGTGTTGTCCTATACTAGATATATGGTATGTCTCTTGCCGTGAAGTGAGAAACCCAAAGTAGGGTCAGTGACCTTCCCTTCTTTCTGTTTATTCAGGGTTCTGACTCCCTTGGGGACAATACTTGTTTATGTCATGTAGAACAGAATATCCCCCCGCCTCAAGCTCAATGTGGGCTGGGTTTGAGTTCCAGCTCCGCTACCAACTGGGTGACTGTGTTACTAAGGTCTACCCCTTGGAAAGGAGTGACAGCCTTCAGAACTGGTATTGGCCTTGGCCTCAGCCCTGCCTGGTGGGACTTCCTGAAGCATTTCTTACTCTTGCAGACTCTGGCTCTGAGAGTAGAGCTAATCACAGGACTCTCTTGTTGCCCAGTTTGAATGTGTGTAGGATTTTGTAACTTAAACATTCTGTATTTTAATAGTTCAAAGCTGCTGCCTTTTGCTTTGTTTAGCAATTAGATACATTGGGCATCATCTGGCTTGCAGGATCTCGTGTGGATTTTCTTTCCTATGCTAGAAACTACTAAATTCTAGCAATTCAGATGCCACTTCATATTCTAAAATCCAAATCAAATAGAAATAAACAGTACTGTATGGCAAAGTTGTACCTCACCGAGAACTTAGGTCCACTGAACCCCCAGTGTAGACAGACATTCCACCTTCCAGAGGGTGGAAAAAAGGATTGATGGCTGGTTCTGCTCCACCCTCAGAGACTGTGCCAGAACACCTACGCTGGATATAACTTTTTTAAGTTTCCAGAACAATGCATGTGGTAAATATACATCTATTCTCAAATTAGATGTTTAAAAATAAAAACCCAAAGTAAGATTTGGCTGTAACAGAATAGATAGTGCCTTCCTGTTAAATCATTCATATGTTCCTAGTTAGATGGATTTGCCTGTGTTCCATGACTTTATATCTCCTTCAGTTTAGGTTTTGTATTTTTGCTATCTGCCATAGTGCCTGACACTCAGAAATGTTTACTTTGTATATGAATTGATTTAGTTGTGGATTCTAGTAAGTTACATACAAGGTTACTATAATGTGGTAAGAATTTTACAAATATACACGGGCTTAGACATCTCAATACAATGTCCTTCAATGCTGTACATTCATTTCAATGTGATGCTCCCCTTAATCAAAGCATTTTAGGAACTCCAGTTTGAAAATGGTCTTCACATAAATTCTTAAGGACCAAGCAGCTGTAACAATGCCTGAATAAATAGGTGCTCACCACCACCAAAAAGCGAAAAACATGTTTTATTCTGAACTGACTAAATTCTTTCCAAAAACCTAACATTTGAGATTAGCCAATTATGTTCTATTCTTAAATCAAATTAGGTATCATATTTGAATTCAAACGACTTGTGGCTGCTTCTAAAATTTGAAACTATGTTGAAAGGAAGAAGATGCAATTCTGAAAGAGAATTTCCATGTCCATTTTAAGTGAAGCAGCAGAGTTAAATACACAGACCCCCAGGAGGACAGCTTTGAAAAGTAAAATACCCATTTGGATGTGTAAATTATGGCTTGATTGTAACAGCAATAATTCATACTTAATTACCTCCAGTTTTTGTGGTTAATGACACTAGGATAGTTATAGGTCAGCTGACAGCTGGTTAACAGAGGGATCTATGCTTCCTTGCACCTCTCTGAGAGTATGGTTATACTTCCATATGGGCTTCAGAGTGTCAGATACTAAGGCTACTCATTCAATGCCTTCACTTCCTCAGACAGTGGTTTTCTAAAACAGAATGTCTCTTCTTGGGCTTCCTCTTAGGAACAAGGGAGAAGGCCGAGACTTTAAAATCCACACTTCTCAAGTGAATACATGAAGCCAGCAGGGTTTAGGCAGTTCTCTTTGTCCTAAACTTGAGAGTGTAGATCTCCCTCCTGGTCAACTTCTAGTCCCTTCTTCCTAACCTGAAGTCCTACTCCTGTGTCTGATAAGCAGAATCAAGTGACTGAGAATTCTGCTACTCTTTTAGCCCTGTGACCTTGAATAAAACGTTTAATCTCTCTAAGCCTATTTTCTTATCTGTAAAATGGAGGATTTACTTCCTTTCAGGGTTCTTTTGTGGATTGAACAACCGTGATGTTTTATGTGGATGAACGTAAAACACCTAGAATAATGAATGACATATAAAATGTTAAATAAATGTTAGATGGCTTTCTGTCCCCTCTAGCCGCCTTCTCTTCCCATATATACATACTTCAATTTATAATAGTAGTAATAGTTAACATTTACTATGTACAGTAAATGTATAACGTTTACTATATTATACCATATAACTTACTATATGTCAGGAACCATTCCTTGAATTTTACTATTTTACATAATCCCCTAAACAATCCAATGAGGTAGGTGACCACAGGTTTTAGGTCAGCAGTTCTCAAAGTGTGGTCTGTGGATCCCTAGGGTTCCTGAGACCCTTTCAGGGTCAAAACTGTTTTTTTTTTTTTTTT